CATTAAAATAATGTTAGTTATTTTAGAAAACAACTGATTAAAACAGACCTAAGCAGTTAATGGAAACTTGTCTGTCTCTCACATGGAAGCCTATTAACAGACATCATACCAGGTGACCTAACATCATTCTCCGCTAGAATATCACATTACAGAGATATTTTCTAAAGTGCAATTACTGTGTACAATGCTTTATAGTCTAGCAAGAGGGTAAGGTCCAGATCTTAAGAATACAGTTTTGGATGGGGAGCAATAGAAAATGAGTCAGGACATTCCCAGCTCATTCATAACATTAATTCAGGTATCCATACTCAGTCTTATTGAAAAAACACTGAGAAAGGTAATATTTGTTCTTTTTATGTGCAGACTTTTATTTAGCTGTAGCAATATTAAGTCTTAAGAAATTATGACTAGATTTGTCATTCCAGACAGCAAAGGGTAGTAGTGAGAAAAAAAATCATGCTAGGAGAATGGTTCTCAAACATTTTTGTGCTGGGGACTTATTTTTAAGGTCTGGGTCCTCCCTCCGTTCCTGATGCTACTCTTTCCCTGAAGCAAGAGCAGTGCTCAGCTTCATTGAAGAATAATTAATAAAATGTTAAGACATTAATGAGAGAAGATGAAAACAAAGTCACCTTTCTATGTTTATTATGTTCCTTGTCCTCTCCCTATAGTTTTGGTATCTCTGCAAATATGTTTCCTCTCCCTGAAAGCAGACCTCTAGGATGATCTCCCTTTCCTAAATCATGTGGATTTTTAATCCTTTTGAACTCACCTTGGTGTTTGCTCCCAATCAGGTTCCCGAATGTCATCCAGCTTTAATCACAATTAAATTTACAACAAGGAACATTCTGATGAGAAAAGACATGAAACAGCTGTGCTGGGGACAGCCTGAAACTTGTTGTTTTTGAGACTGTTACTCTGAAAAACCCAAATAGATCCCTGAATTGGGATATAGTTTAGGGCAAGCACCAATGTGTAAAAATTGATGGATCAGGAATACTTTACCCTTTTGACAGAAGCAGCTCTATTGATCTGCACGCTACAGTTTGAGAACCACTCTAACTAGTTGGAACCAAACACTGAATATTTACAAAGCTTAAATACATACATCTGGCAGTAATTCATAAAAGTAAATCAGAGATATAAGTCCCCTTTTTTGACCAACCAAACACCAAATAGTTGTATTGATATTGGTCATTAGGGCTGTGCAAATCTTCAGTCACCAATTTGATTCAGAGGAGATTCAGCCTGATTTGGGGGCCAAATCTCCAAATCCAAATCGAGAGATCCATTAAAAGCTCTGTATCTATTTGGAGCATCCAAATCAATTCAGAAAAGATTTGGGGATTTAGAGATTCAGATTGGCCAGGGACAGGCAGGCACAGCCAGGCGGTTGCAGGTTCTCCCACGGCTGCTCCAACTGTGCCTGCCTTTTCCCAGGTGGGGGGAGCTGTGGGAGAAGCCCCCATGGCTGCCATGCTCAACCCCATCCCCCACCTGGCTCAGCCTCCCGGCACTTAAAAAAAAAAAAAAAAAAAAAAAAAAAAGCCCCACACTCACCAGCTGCAGCAGTCATCTGGAACCCAGCAGTGCTCATCCCCAGCAGCCCCAGCTCCCAGAGAGCATGCCGCACCCTGCCAAACCATGCTGCACACGTGGGTGCCAGGCAGGAGGGTGGGGGGTAATCCCTGCTGCCCCCACTGCCCCATGCTGCATGGGGGAGGGTTCTGCCATGAGTGCCCAGTGTCCCTGATTGCCATTGCTGCAGCCTGTGAGTGCGGGCCATTTTTAAGTGCTGGGAGGCTGGGGCCGGGCAGAACAGCCATGGGGCCTTCCCACAGCATGGGAGCTTCCCACAGAGCAGCCAAGGGGGCTTCTCCCACAGCTGCCCCTGCCTGGGAAGAAGCAGGCACAGCTGGAGGAGCCATAGGAGAACCTGTAGCCACCTAGCTGTGCCTGCCTCTCCCAGGCCAATCCAAATCACCGAATCTCTGGAAGCCAATTCAGCCAAATCAAATGGGGACAGTGATTCGAATGACCGAATCAAATCACTGTCTTCCAAATCACCCAAATCCAAATCAAATACTTCCCTACTCGCACAGGCCTATTGGTCATATGCTGAATCCAAATCCAAAGGATGAGTAACAGTGCAGAAATAGACCCAGAGACAGCAGATGCTGATTCACTATCATTAGTTGCATCACAGTATCACACTAAGGCCCAAATCAGAATCAGGGCCACATACATATTAAGCATCACAACTGCACTGTAGTGTGATAGTGTCCCTTCTTTATTGCATATACAATCTAATGGGCAATTCGTGAGTTCAATATAATTCACAGAGGTTTGGCTTGGCAGAGGTAATATCCAGCTGATGTAATATTGCCCAGTATCCCCTGGCTACTGTTAGACATTCCCTTTGTTTTGTTTGTCTATTTACTACAAATAGATTAGTGCCAGCCTTGGACTACGAGCACCTAGGAAACTCATGAGGTTGTAATGTCTTTTTTACTTTCTATCATCTGTTCTCATTACAGATTTTGTGTTTTGAATCCATGCCTGTCCAGAACATAAATCCACTGACTCTAGCAGCTACTGTTGCAAATAAATGGTTTCAATTGTCCTCTCCCAAGGAGAGATTCTAAAATTTTGCCAATTTTCCAGGAGGAACAACATTTTTCCCTAGGTTCCTCTGACTTTAAACATCAAGTGGAAAATAAATACATTTCAATTAAGAAAAAGCCAAAGTAGCAAACAGATCAGACACAAGATATAGGCAGTCCTTGACTTACAGCGTTTCTACTTACAACAATTCGCACTTGCGGTGCTCTGCCATTTACACTCATGTTATTACTTACGGCGCTGGATCCTCGCACTTACGGCACTACAGAAAAATTTACAATGAGAAAAAGAGGGCAGCAAAACAAACATCCCTGGATCAGTTTCTCAAAAAGCCATCAAGTGGCCCTAAGTCTCCCCAAAATCTCCCCAAAGAAGCCCTTCTGAATTCCATGACCCTGATGGTGTTCCTTCACCTTCTGATTAAATAAAATTGTATGTGATTAGTTACTGTATTGCCCTATTTAATCAATTTATATACAGTATACTTTAGAAAGCTTTGTACTGTACAGTGTATATAATTTATAGTTGATAAAACAGTTAATTTAAATATGATGTTTATGGTCATTTCTATAAAAAGTTGGGCATCAGGCCCTTGATCAGGAACATAACCCCTTATTATAACATTGTTTCTATGGGAAAATCAGATTCGACCTACATCGTTTTGACTTACAGCACCCTTTCCAGGAACATAACCCGCCGTAAGTGCAAGGACTGCCTGTACTTAGCATCTGCATCTTGTGTGTACAACCTCCCTTTTTAAAATGATATACATGATGTTCATAGTATTTTAAGCTAAAGATTAGTTCTAGATATTTCAAAATGTTTACCTTGGACTGCTTAAAACATTAAGCTTGGTTTCATTGTGCAAGAATTTTAAAGTGATAAAACAGGCCAAATTCAAATTAGAATAAAAGCCTATTAGAGTCCCTGGAGTTACATCTGCTTATACTACATATGGTTACAGCCCTAAGGAGTGAGAAAAGAAAAACATTTTAATAGTGTCTCAGAACTGAGAGATGACAAGAAAGTTTGCAACAGATAAGGAGGCACAGTGGCTGCATCTAAATAAGCAGCCAACTGTGCAGTTGTTACTGCACAGTCATTTAGTACTTGCTTACCTGAGTACTAAATGACTGCACAGTAACCAGTGTTACTGCACAGTCCCATCACTGCACAGGTATTTTTAGATGCTACTGCACAGTAGCAAAGAGCTGTGCAGTAACTTGTTACTACTGTGCAGTAGCGTCACCATCATGGTTCAGGCCTGGCAATATTACAGTGCTGTAGCAATGAGCTCATTGCTACTGTGCCATAGCATCTCATGTAAATGCACCCAGTGTGTATCTGAGATCTAATACATGTAGGTGTAAGATGTTATGACCACATAAAATCAGTCTTTGACATGAAGAGTGACATTTGATGGGTGGGATCTGGTGGGCCAGAGTGAAAAGGGATACACCAGTCCATGTCTGGACTGTAAGAAAAGTTATGTATGCAAATTCCATTAATCCCAAAGTACACTGGAATCATGCATTAAACTATTTAATCAGACAGCTGGCACATTCAGCAATATTTATGCATCCCCCTATCTTTACCAAAAACAAGTGGCTGTTTTTAAAAAAGATAGGGTTCAGGAAAGGCAGGAGTGAAAACTGGTGTGTTTGTCACATATAAAAGGTTGACTTCTTGAGGGCACTGAATTCTAGAAGGCAACCTATTAATCCACAGTTGACTTCTATTCACATCTAGATTATGCCTCATTGGTACAGTTAGCTTCCCTTATTATCCAAACCTACACTTTTTCTGTGCATTTCTGTTGTCCTCAAATCTTTTCCAGAAAAGAGGTATATGGACATAAACTAGTCAGCACTTGCTGATAAACCTCACAGCATCTCTGGCCTGGTCTTCACTAGGTAAAATAAAAAGTACTTCAACATGTGCTAACTAACTTGTGCAAAATTACTTGAATAAACAATGCAGCTGTCATTTTAACACATCATCTGGTCAAACCCTCATGGGTTTTCCAACGTGTGAAAATTACAACTTTCTTACCTAGACCCAGGTTTAAAACAGATTAGCTAACACAGATTGAAACCCACGTTTTTTCTTCTTAGTAGGGATATGGCCTCTTTAAGCAGATTAAAAAAAACAGGGTCCTGCCTCACCCTTTTGGATGGGACAGTTCACCCGAAAAAAGGATGGTTCACCTCAATTCAACACATCCAAGTCTCCCCTGGTTTAACATATCTCTGAATCTCATAATTGCATTTAAAAAAATAAACACCTCTTCCAATATACTAGTGATAAGTATTGCTCTGATCCTTGCAGCAAACTTAAATGAACCTTGTAAGATTTTCAATTACACAGGCAGCAAAACCATCAATTTACTCTTCATTTACATTTACATCACAGCAATAATTGCCAGCAATACCCTTCCCTTAAGGAAATGATTCAACAATTGAATTAGAAAGCTTCATGAATCAATGGATGAACCACATGAATACAGATTCCTCTCCTGCTTCACTATTTCTCTTTTGGTCCTGTAAGGTAAAGCCAGTTTCATGAGCAGAGTTTGTTCTTCATCTTCCCTTTTATGCCCTCACGGACCATGGCTTAAAGGTCCCTGGTTCAGCAGATGGACACTGTAAAGTTAAAAAAGGGAGTAAGTAACCACCTAGGGGCACACCTTGACTTCTCTATAAAGCTAGACTGATTGGCCCATTGGCAGCTATGGCAAGTGGACTTTAGTCTGATGAATATCAGAGCTCAGAATCCCGCTCCTCCAGAATGTTGAACTATACATCAGATAGAGCTAGCAATGACAAGTCTGCAACAGGCTCTGGTACAGAAGATGATGCTAAATATACTAGGCATAATCCTGACCTCTTTACCTGGAGCTGAATGCTGCTCATCTTCACAAGACATGGCTCATGAGCCACAAGCAGGATGACAAGGCATTAGCTCTCAGGGTGCTACCTTTCCATTAACTGCAATGAAGTTATATTTGAGTAAAGACCGGTGCCACAGTTCTGCATGTTGTTTAATCCCAGAGCCCCAGTGAACATGATAGTGCTCTACCCAGGTCCTGGCATCCACTCCTACAAATACAGGGTACTGACTGCAATGGAGTAATGCAAGGAAGTTGGCTTAGCCCACATAGGCTCAGTTGCAGGATTATGGCCTACATGAAGACTTAGAAGGAAGACTGAAGAGGTTTTAATATCCACCAATAGTCATCAAGGCCTACAATTTTTTTATTTTCCATAACGGAGGTCTTTACTCTTAACAACGGGCCTGAGATATGTGTTAACATTCATCAGGGTCTCAGAGATGAAGGTGAGGAACACCACAGGGATGCCAATAAATAAATATACCAGTGCCTTTCTACTACAAAAAGCTGAAGTTACTGGAATCTGACCTATCCCCATTAGCTAATAAAGACTGGGGACTGTTTACAATTTACATGTATGTGTTTTATTAAATGGACTGGAGACAAAGCTGGCTTCTAATCTTGTTAGACTGCTATTTTGATTTTTATCTCTGTTTACTTTTAGCACTTTCTTCTGTATAGACTATTTTTACTCCTGTTTCTCTGTTTTCCAGATGAGATTCAGTTAACAGTTTCTCCATCAATTACTGAAGTAAAAGAAGAAGCTTTGTTGTTGTCCCTGGCACCAATGAAAGCTCTTTGGAAATAGCTGATCTGTAGATTTGCATTTCTCTTTCAGTAACATTCAAAGTACTAGCCCAGAAACCTCCCAGCTGCCTAAGTAAAAACCTTTTTGTCTGATCACATGAGCTCTTCCACGGTGCTTTATACAGGACACCAGGTGGGCTGGTGGGACGGTGTTGCTGAACTGGACCATAGCACACTACAAAGCTGAAAGTGCCTTAAGTACTGTACCAATTTGGTGAAGATGTCAACACAAGCATTTCGGATCCTTTCTGGGGTGGCAGGACTGTCAAGTCTGAATGGCTCTGTCAGGCCAGACTCTCTCCTCGCTGAGAAGATGGCATCTTTAATGGCATAAAACACGGAGGCAGAGAGGAACAGTGGGGGCTCTCCCACAGCCTGGGCAGACAGAAAGCATGAGAGAATCAGATGAAATCTGAAACATACCTGTCAGAGCTGGGATTATGGGGCCCCTGGAAAGGAGGGAGGGAGGAACAGGCTCCGGAGCAATCTTGTAAGCTCTTCTGCTTTCCCTCAGTTTCCTCTGTTCAAGTGCCTTCCTGCTAACAGCACTGTGCATGAATAGCATAATTGCTGAAAAATAACTTTACTGATTTGTCAAGAAGTTTCCCTGGGGCAGGAGGAAAGGGGAGAAAGGATGGACACCATTAGCTATATGCCAATATTTAGATTATAATGTTTTGGGGGTGTTTTTGGGTGTCCCCTCGAGCTAAGAATGCACCAGGCACTCTCTGAACATACGCTAGCATTGTACGTCAAACTGCAGACTACCCAATACCTATGGCATGGCCACCTACAGACACCAATTGATCTGTCATGACATCTGAAGAATATTGCCAGTACGCTATTAATCCCTTTTGGTGGGTGCATCTACACATGCGATTAATGTGCACAAATAAACTCTGGAGCTTATTGCTCCAGAGTTTATTCATGCACAGCATGTGGAGCCCTGTCAGACCAGCCTGGGCTGGCATGCAACCCAGGGGGGTCAACCTGCCAGCCCAGGACTGACAGGGCTCCATGTGCTATGGAGTGGCTGGCTAGGGCATGAGGGTCTACATGATTGCAAAGCAGGGGCTGGGAGCTCCTGGCTGCCAGGGCAGGGGGACATTGTCCCTGCCTGGGCTCCAGTGGCAGAGCCCACCCCTGCAACGGGTAGCTCCCAGGGGCAGAGAGCAATCTCCTACCCTCTGCTACCCAGCTGACCAAGAGCACATTTGCTCCCGGTCAGAAGTCCACATGTGCGCTACTGCACAGTAAGTAACCCTGAGTAAATTTGCTACTTGCATTTGCAGGTAGCAAATTTACTCATGATTAGAGTCCATTACTACACAGTAAGCACCTGCATATGTAGATGTGGACACTTACTATGGGGTAATTAGCTCTACTGTGCAGTCTTGTGTAGACACATCCTATTACCATTAATTTGGTTCCATTGCACAGGTCTTTTAACACACACCGTTTCCAAGAATGCATGGCTTACTAATGGGTATACAGAGCCTCCAGAGGTACCTTGGATGAATAAATTGCTTTGCTATTTGGACAGTTGCGGAGAAGAGACACATGGAATTCTGACGGGATGTCTCCAAATGCAGGAATCTTGTACATTCCAGGCCCTCGGGTGTATAAGTTTCCTTCAGGTGAATAGCGCAGTTCCTCCAGTGTAAAGAGCCCAATGCCCTGTACAAACGCTCCCTCTATCTATAAAACACATGCAAAAGAGAAGTTAAATTCTTCTTTTTTTCTCATTCACAAGAAAAAGCAATGACAAATCCAAATGGGACATTTTGCAAAGGGACTTTAACCCTGATATTGTAGGCAAATAGCCAGGTGGACAAAAGATTTTACCAAACAAAACTCACTTCTTGCATATGGATATAACACTCTGCATCTGCACACCTCTTGTCCTTTCACTTGGGAATAACATTCTTCTTCTGCCTTCACCTTAAACTTGTCATGCCCTGCAATTTCCCTGCTATGCAGTTCCCAAGCCTGGCTTAGAAATTGTTCCATGTTCACAGTGTATGGAACAGTTCCTACACATGCACACACATGCACGCGCACACACAGGGTTTATGAGAGTGCTTAGGGATCAAAAATTGCTAGGGCCTGTAAATATAAGGTGCTTACAGCCCCTAGCAATAAATATCTGATGTTTTTATGCAGGAGCTAAAATTGAATGCATGTAAACAGCTGTAGTAATGACTTCCTCTTAGGTAGGTTTAAATCTGAATGCAACTATGTATTATATCCAATACTAATTCAACTTTTCAGCGCAGGAAAAGCATTCTAGAAGCTGGTGATGACAGAAGGTTTCCCTAAAAACAAATGATTTTACTTATTTTATTCATATCAAAATAAAATTTCCCACTGCTCTGTTATACAGTAGGTCATTGCCAAAGATACCTAGAAAAATGTGGAGGTAAAGATAAGTGTCTTGATGGCGATTTGCACACCATAAAAATCAGAAAGGCTGAGGCTTCTTCAGTCACTGCTTAGATGGTATAACAATAGGATCCTCAGAAAAGCTTCAGACTTTCCAAAAATTCTACTGGACTTGAAAGTAAACATGACTTAGATGCCTAATTCACTTACGTGCTTTTGAAAAAAGTGCCCAAAGATAGAAGAAAGATTAGCTAATGCTCTAGTAGAAAATTCCCAGATGTACTCTGGAACACAGAAGGATAGTAATGGAACTGCACAGTAACTAATGACAATAATGAAGGTTGGAAAAAGGGAAGTTAGAAAAGCGCTGGTTATAAAGACAGTAGAATCATTTTCTAGGGTATGCCTCATTCTCTTCACCAGCCCTGAACACCAATATAGAGAGAGATTGGGTGCAGGGATACTGCCTAAGGGCTGCAATGTATTTTGTGCTCCCTTCTTTCCTCAGGCACCACATTTTGGTTGACCCTCCAGCCATATCATCTCTCTCCCATAGAGCCTTGACAATAAATAAGAAAATCTCTTGGAGGGACATAGGCTAAGAAGATCCTTTGAACAGCCTCCCCCTCCTCAACCTCCATGACTCAAGGTTGTAAGTCAGATTTTCCTTAATAGGATCATTTTTTCCTCACAAGAGACTTCACTCTAAGTGGGAGTCTCCCTGTAACCAAGATAGGGTCCTCTGATGCACGAGGATCATTTCAGCCCTACATCCTGCATCAGTATGAGTGGAATTATACTCTGTCTATGTTAACTGTTCAAGGGTGAAGACCACTGTATTCAGCCATTCACTGTGTGCAGACAGACTTCTAATCATTCAGCCAGCAGAATGCAGAAAATTCCTGAATGTATTGCCAGCAGTAATCAGAAAACATTACTCAGCTTATTACTGTACGGAAGACAGAAAAAAGCACTGCCCCTGATCAGGGAACTTA